AGTTTCTACAAGAAGGGATATTTGAAGTTTCTACAAGAAGGGATATTTGAAGTTTCTACAAGAAGGGATATTTGAAGTTTCTACAAGAAGGGATATTTGAAGTTTCTACAAGATAAGGGATATTTGAAGTTTCTACAAGAAGGGATCTGAAGTTCCTATACGAGATAAGGGATATTTGAAGTTTCTACAAGAAGGGATATTAGGTTTCTACTATAGCAGGGAGATTAGGTTTATATACCAGCAGGAGGCCTGAAGTTTCATGGTGATTGTGAACTTGTGTCATAGTGCAGAGGAGTACAGAACTGTATATGTGAGTCTGGCCGGTGTTGCTGGAGAGATTCATTGTTCAATGTTCTGTTCATAGATGGCGAGAGTGTCAAAAGTCATGGCGGCGCGCATGGATTTTTTGGTGGGTCACCTCTCGTGTACAAGTGTCAACTCTGAGTTCACTGTACGGAAATTGGCCAGTAGATGTGTTGTGGGGAACCTTGACTACACAGGTGGTTTCAGTGTCCGGCTGCTTCCTTTTTCTTTTTCCTACTTCTCTGGAGTGAGCGACATCTACCACAGTCTTCGATCTGCAACGTGTTCAACATCGCGTCCGGGATCACAAATAAGAAATAACCGTACCATATGTTGCACATCAGCTTATTTCTAAACGAATAAAAATGGGTATGCGAACATTATTTGCTGCTAGCAGCACCTCTTTCTTATTAAAGAAGAGGGATGCAGGGTGGTACAGTATACTGTATATATACAGACTGGGCCAAAAAAAAAACAATTGAATGGATTTTTGAATTGGGATTTTTCCGTTAAAAATGAGGCTACAGCAATGAAAAAAACACCAAATGAAAGTTTATTAATTCTCTTTCGAATGGTTTTTTTTGTTTTATAGTCCTGTCATCAAACAGTCACAAACACGTACCATCATTTGAATGAAAAATTTCAGAAAAAAAAAGTCACGCAACTCCTCCTGCTAAGCTGCTGTCTCAAAAAACCTCCCAAAAATTACCTTAAAGTTAGGACAACCCACATCAGTGCACCAGAAACAAACCCCAAGATAAATACAGACTGGAAAATAAATAAGCCCATGAAACCCACCCAGGCCAGAACCAGCAGGGAACACAAAGATCATCCATGCCCACTCACACAAAAACGCAGGACTCAGGAAATCATGCAACCAGACAACAACCCAATTGGCTCACTGAACATTAATTGGAAGATGAGCCTGAAAAATTACGCCAAGATGGACAAAGCAATACCTATAAAAATCTCACCATATTATAATGCAGAGAAAGTAAAGTCCATTCCTGTGACTTTTGAGGCATGTGGGATACTTCACTGCTTCCAGTGCTTCCTTTGAGGAATTTTTTTTCTCGCTGGACCATGGCAAGACTTTTAGGCATTGCTTTGTTCACCCTGGTATGATTTTTCAGTCTCATCTTCCAATGACTGTTCAGTGAGCCAATTGGGTTGTTGTCTGGTTGCAAGATTTCCTGAGTCCTGGGTTTTTGTGTGCATGGGCATGGATGATCTTTGTGTTACTGATGCTGGTTCTCGCCTGGCTTGGGTGGGTTTCATGGGCTTATTTATCTTTCTGTCTGTATTTATTTTGGATTTAATTTCTGGTGTACTGATGGGGGTTGTCCTAATTTTAAGGTTATTTTTGGGAGGTACTTATGTATTTTGATTTTTGAGACAGCAGCAGCTAATCAGTAGGATGACATTATTTTTTGAAAGTTTTCATTCAGATGATTTTTTTGGCCATTTGATGACAGCCTTAGGACTGTAAAATGAAAGTCCATTTGAATGCAAATTATGCAAATTAAATAAGCTTTCCTTTGGTGTTTTTTTCATTGTGTAGCTTAATTTTTAACAGAGATATCCTAATTCAAAAATTGGTTTACATTTTTTGACCCACCCTGCTGGTATATACCACCCTGCATGGCTATAATTCAATATTTGTATACACATATTGAATTATAGCTCCAATAAGCTTATGAGCTCATCAACATACCCACTTTCTGAGGCTGAGCTATAGAGAATACTGAGGATGGCATTGCAATCCAGCTGGGCCTTGAGCAGGAATGAACCAAACTGATTCCATTAGCCAGGATTTTCTTCATAAAAATTTGTTATCCAATAGACAGCAGCCATATTACTGCATAAAGGACCTTAAATATAGTTGTAGTTATTTGACAGGGACCTTAAAATACTAATAGCTTGTAGTCAATTCTCATTTGTTATAAAAATATATTTGTAAGGACATTTCACTGCAGTAATCCATGGGAAATTATTCAACTGGTTCCATTTGAAATGATGACAAAAAGAAAAAAAACCTTCAATGCTTCATTACAGCCTTTCTTTCCAAATATTCCCATTGATTCAAATTCGCCAGTATTTGATTGCAATCTTCTATATATACAGAAAAAATCTTCAGAAAAAGAAAAGGTCACCACTAGAAAATTGCTTGGCAATTTTGCTAACGAAAAATAAACTAATTTTCTCAACTATAGGGTGCAAAGTATAGCATTGAATGCATGGTTTCTATTTCTGGTGTCCATTTCTTTGCTGTAGTTGAATCTTTGATGCATAGGATGGAATTTAATTCTGTGATGTGTCACTTTCCGTTTGTGTTTGGAAACGCAAGTACAGTACAGTACTGTAATAACTTGGACTACATGTACGGACTCCTTCCTGGTTTCAAAATATTGCTAGCAGTCTGGCTCAGTGTACAGAGCTAGATTCTTTGTTAATTTTGGACGTGAGCCCTCGATCACATTTTGTTGCAACTGCTGTAACAATAATGAAAAACGTGGATCTTGAAAGTTCTAAACCATATAAGTCATACTCGACCAAAGCGTCAGAGCTGATGGGTTTGCAGTTTGCACAGAAGAATTCTAGTGAAACGTAACATCTTCTGCTGTTAAAATTTATAAATCCGCGACGCAGATCGGTGCGCAACTAGGTGTCGCTCCCTCAATTCCTCGCGGATGGAATACAGTATTGTTGCACACAGTATGCAACAGTAACTATAGGACCATTCGAGCAGCTGGCGCGCGACAACGTCCATGCTGATGCAGCAACGAACAATGTGACAAGGCAGATTTTAATTGAAAGATCCACAAACATTTGATGATCCACTTCAAATTGCAATTCCTTCTTTTTTTCTCGGAGATTAGATTAATTTTAGTTCAAAACCGCGAATCAAGGGCAAATGGTAACATCAAAACTGGTTTCGCCTGGGCAGTTGTGCAGACCTCCTGCGTCATCGTACGCGTAACTGTAGGCTGTCGGGCACTGGGCACGAACTGTGTTCACGTACCCGGTCTGAATCACTGGTCCACTGCTGCATTGCTGCTCAAAAAATCAAAATTATTCAAATGAATCAATCAAGCTGCCATAAGAAAAGTGAAAGGCATACGCGCGCATAGAGCCTCCGTTTCAAGCATCAAATCAAGTTGGATTACATTATACAGTAATTAAAACGCTCTGTCCTGAAATTTGCCCGCAAACACAGTGGTATATACAGTATAAGCAATTAATTTTCACATTTTTCCGGGTATTCTGCAAAAAATATTAGGTACATATTATACACGCTTTTAAAAGTTCAGAAAACTTTCAGAACTTCAGAAATTTTCAGAACTACATGCACAAAGATACTGTAATATAAATTCTTTCAAATAATTTTCGCGAAACACATTCACCGCTGGGGCAGGAGCTGAAATGAGACTGAATGTCTTATTGCCGCCATGATATTCAAGAAATAATATGTTCCCGTCTTATTTCTTGAACAAAAATTTAATTGGGTTCTGTTTTCAAGTTTTCCAACTGCTGTATAGGTACTCAGCATATGAATGACCAGCAAGTATCATAAATTGTATTACTTATTGCTATGTAATTAGAAGAACTGCATTCTGAGATTTTACAATTTTAAATGGTTGTGCGGAAATTGGGAGTAGTCCGGAAAATTTTAGCCATATTTTGAAAGCAAAATTACCTGCATTATGTAATTTTACCAATTTTTTTGAATATTCAATCAAACTTGATTGATTTTTTTTAAACTCACAGCAGGTTCGATCGGCGGGGTGGGGCAGCACATGTGAACCCCGGGTTCGTTCACTTCGGGCAAACCTAAGCCGAAGGGTGGCGGGAAGTTCCAGCGTTTGCATGGCGACAGACACGCAACGACGGATCCATCATAGCCATACACACGCAAGTCACCCAGTCCCTCGATCTCATTGGTGGGACAGGCATCCAGTGAAAGGGCGCAGGTGGTGGTGACGCAGGAGCCGCTGTCACCGCCGCGAGGAACGATTCTCATGGGCAACGAGTACCCGTCAACCAAACTGATGTCGTACCAGGAGTCCCTGTTGGGCGGTTGCGGTGGGAAATTGAACTCGATCTTGGTGTCAGCGGGTGGCTGGCAACCCTGCGCCGGGCACGGGGGTGAAGAGTCGCCAAAGAGGCAGTTGGTACCGCTGTCGTCGCATCCTGTTTACCACATTTCGCATAAATTCCCACTTTCATGAAATTTGATCAAACTTCCAAACAGAAAGCCCTACAAGCTGTAATCCGAGGGCTACTAAAAATTCGAACGTGCCAGTTACTCTTTGATAATACAGTATCTATGATTCTTCGCATCTGGCATGGCGTTACTCGTGGAATAAGTGCCGCCTGATTGTCATTCAAAGGTTCTAGTCTTCCTGCTGCGTCCGTGATTCATAGCGCATATTCATAGAATGCAAGTCGATTGCGTTACCCTTAGGGCCAGACGCAAATTTTGGGTTCGGTTTCGTTGGTTACCGTAGAAGGGTTCAGAGGGGCGTGTAGAGAGCCGCGCTTGTTGCGAGTTTTTTTTTAAATTTTGTACTGTAAAACGATTGTGTTCATCGAACAATTGATACATATTAAGCAAGTTTGGCTTCCTAATCAAACGTTTCTCTGCGCCGAGCGCAAAAAGTTGACTTGCCGAACTTTGGCCAGAAACGACCAGCCCAGCCTCCATCAGAAATCCGATAGGTATAGCCTTGGTAAGCGTCCAATGGAACAGTCCCGTCGGGCAAGGGTGCAGCGTCAGAGTTGGGTGTTGTGGCCAGCCACAACTTCATGTTGCAGTTGTTGTAAACGAACAGTTCGACCCCGGCAGCAACCGATAGGCTTCCGGCGAGGAACAATGCTCCTAAAATGTACATCTTAGCCATCTGTGAGGAATTAAAGCATAGAATCGTGTTATATTCAATGAACAAGTAGCAAGTATACTTGTACATCAGTATTCAGCGATTCGTCAGAAATTATTGTTCCGCAAACAGATCGAGGTTCGCCTGAAAGCCTCAAATGAATAACATATGGAATAATTCCAGCTTCTTCATCTAGGATGTGTCTTCAGCTTCATTACTTTTCCTCATTTTGCCATTGTGTGCATGGTGCTTTCGTTACGTTTCGTTGTACGCATTTTATTCTGGCAGTTGTGGGCTGATTACGGTTTTTCTCGCG